CATTTGATCAGACGAATAAAACAGTGACGAGGACACCACTACCAACCAATGACGAGGGCATTGAGAGCGTCGGCACAAGCCTTAACATCTGCCATGGGCGGCACGAAGGTGTCACAGCTTTCTGCGTCGGCCTTGGATTGTAACTCAGAGACTTGATCCTGCAGGTCTGACAAAGTGGATAGCTTGTCTTCTGCAGCCTCCAAGCGTGCAAAAAGATGGTCAGATTCAGGCTCGAGCATGTCAACTTGATGCTGAAGGTCATAAAGGTCGTCCTCTGACATGGCATGGCGATTCTTGATATCAGTAACACTGGAATGCAGCATATTTACTCGACCCTGATAGGCAAAGTTGAAATTTAAAGTGATAAAAATCCCAAAACATATACTTGCCTCGATAGTCTTTATGGCATCGCGCAGATCTCTATGGTCATCATGGCTGGAAATCTGGGATTCATCCGACCGCACCTCAGTAATAGAGGGGAGAACAGGAATGGGTGCCAGGGTGGCCGGTTCAGCCTCCAGCGGCACAAACGGCGAGAAACTAGAAAGCGAGGGGAGTCGTTCTGGGAAGCTCTCAAAAGATCCCGAATCGAGGGATCCCATATGTCCAAATGAGCACATCGATGGAAGTTTGACTCTGCTCGACTCATCCGACCGACGTAAAGCGGGCTGCAGGGAGTCAGCCCGGGACGGTGTCCATGCACCGACTTCCGGCTCCTCGGGGGCCTGAGGGGGCGATGGAGATGGAGTAGAGAGCTCCATGGGAGAATGAGACCGTGAATCCTCGAGGTGGATAATGGACGAAGGCGCATCATCGTCATCAATTGACGCAATGGTTGCAATGGCCGGAGGGGACCAAGGACGGGGAGAATCTATGTCAAGTGGGTCCGCGATCTTATGGCAGATATCCTGCATCAACGACCCAAGCGATGGCATCTTCCCGAGTGATGAACCACCCAAAAAGTCTGCGTGGAAGTCTTGACGCAGGGATGAAACACAAGAACGAAGTTCTTCCCAAGACGGTATCTCTTCTATATCAGATTCATGCTCCGAATGTGAAGCAGCCTCGTTGGATGAGCCCGATGGAGATGAAAGGGACTCTGAAGAATGAGATGGGGAAGAAGGATATGAAATAGGACTGTTAAGGCCATAGCGCCCGGTACTTAATTTTCGTGGGCGAGGACTTGAGGGCTCTACAAGGGTGAGACACCATGGAGGCGAATCGCGCATATCCAAAATATCGCGCAAAAATTCGATGCGAACTGTGACCGGTGAAACGAGGGTAGCGCCTTGCCCCACAGCTTTACCAAATGTCACAATGTCGCCATCAGTAAGGGAGGTCTCCACCTCAGGCTGCAACATCCTAGATGTTGTTTCGCCTTGCTTCCGTACATGTGTCCCATGACGGGACTTGAGATCAACAATATACACCTGGGACAGGTTGTCAGGTGCAAGTCCGATGTGACAGAATCAGCATGTGCCTACGTGGCCGCTGGAGGCCAACACAAGTTTGGCGTGCTTTGCGCTGACTACGGGGCATGCAAATACAGCATTCTGATCGTCGTTCTCTTTCCTCATTGACCTATCATCTGAGATTGATTTGCGACCGATGTGAACATGGGAGGTGCGGGAGTTGAAGAAGGAAACATTATGAGCAGGCTTTCCACCACACGACTCAACGTGCAGAGTGATACCTTGGTGATAACATGTCTGGGAGGTGTTGTTCAAGTAAAAAACGACGGTGCTTACCCGTCACCGGTTGCTGTGGATCACAGGGGCAAGCAGCTGGCTGAGCAAAATTGGTGCCCAAATACTCGACTTCGTCGTCCATGATGACCGTCGATTACAGTGTACAGAAAAATCTAAAAAAAATGGAGGAAAAGGGAACGGTCTGTGCGTTGGTGGCGGTAGGAATGAAAGCGAGTGGGGAGGGACTTGGTGCTGTCCTCAAGGCCGTGCTTTATCGCCTTGACGTTAATAATATCGGACCGAAAATTCCTTTTCGAGATACCTGTCCGGATTCCCACCGAGGGCCTTCCGAACGATGCACATACTATCACATTCAACGTATTTTAGGCTACTCTGACTGTGATACGAAATATGGAAACACGACAGCCTGAAGGGTAACAAGGAAGTGGAATATATCAATTATGTATGCGATCTACTCAGATGCGAAGAACTTGTCATGACGGTGTGTAGTGCGCGAAATAAGGGTGGTTGAGAGCACGTTTTGCTGAAAATAGGTGAGACATCAGAAACATGAGCAAGCTCGCTGCACACATACCAGAAATCCGTTTTGCTGTGTCATACGTCAAAGTATGCTACGAAAAAAACAATGTGAGCACCAGGCAAAGGTCAACGAAAAAAAAGGGAATGGAGTAGTACGAATAAATTAACAAGACGACATACCGCAAGCAGATCCAAACCTTGGTCATCAAGGTTAGGTACGACACTCTTGAGCTCCTGCTTCGACCATCGAGGGAAGGTATCCTTGTAGTCAGGTAACTGAGTTACACCTGGCCAAGTCTCTTCGCTTGGAGTACCGAGGATCCTGGATCAAACAGTCAATTGTCAGTTGTTCCGAACAGCCAATCCGATTGTGCATTACCTGAAGATCTTGAAGATCTGGTCAATCTCAGAGTCCCCAGGAAACAAAGGACTCCCACGCATCACCATCTCAGCAAAGATGCACCCGACAGACCACATGTCAATAGCTGTCGAGTAGTGGCGAGAACCAAGCAATACTTCAGGCGCGCGGTACCACAAAGTTACCACCTAGAATGACAGCGCAAACGTTCAGCTACGACGTCAGAAGGAAACTTCAGGGGTGCTCATTACCTCGTGGGTATATGTCCTCATTGGAATGCCGAAAGCTCTCGCGAGGCCAAAATCTGCGAGTTTGAGATTGTTTTTCTTGTCGATAAGCAGATTTTGAGGCTTCAGGTCGCGATGTAAGATTCTATGCGAATGACAGTACAAAAGGCCCGCATTGAGCTGATGAGTAAATCGCTATAATGTGATAGGAACACGGTTAGTCAAATTGCCGAATCACGTGACGATCGCTTCGCGTCCCCGCCCTCGCATCACATCACTTAATATCCCCTATCACAATCAATGTGACGATGCCAATCTGAAAGTGTGTGTGGTGGTGGAAGGCTAACGTACAAAAATAGCATGGGCGGTGCCTCGCGCTAGCGAAGACGCTATGGGCGCAGCAGCTATTTGACGCCTTTGCAGACTACGCGCCGAAGCGCGAAACACGCGTCCACCACGCGTCAGGAATCGTAAATGATGGGCAGGGGACCAATAAGAAGCCATTTGAAATGCAAGCTGACTCACTTTGACTATGCCGATGGAAATGGGCGTACCAGATGTGTTGGCGTTCTCCATATAGCGCTTCAAGTCAACATCCAAGAATTCAAAGACGAGATAAAGCTTCTGTTCGGCGTGCACGATATCAAGCAATCTAATACAGGCAATTAGCCATGAGGAGCGGTTGACATAATTTAAGACGTCATACCTGACGATATTGTCATCCTTGAGTTCCTTTAGCAGACTGATTTCTCGGATGGCAGTGCTCGGGACGCCTTCGTCTTCTGCTTCCAGTCGAATTTTCTTAAGGGCTACAATCTGATTCGTTGTAACGTCCCGCGCTTTATAAACAACTCCATATGTGCCTGAATGCGCGTCAGCGATAAACAATGAAAGTGAGCGGAGTGCAACTGCACCTTCTCCTACAACGTGTGCCACACCAGTTCATTGTAGTCTGATGTGAACACATGACAGGCACGCACCAACTTTCTCGATTTTTGCATAGCTACAATTCAGAAAAATCAATTGATTTTGTCAACCATTGAGTGAGAAACGAGATGCGCACCGATCCATATGTCAAAAGAGCGCACAAGCTGTCAAATGCCGGTTAACTGGAAAAAGCGAATATCGGTATCAATGGAAAGGCTATCGCGTGGATGAGAGGGAAATGGTGTCTACAGGTCAATCTAGATGAAACCTGGCGAGTGATACGGAAAACAAGTAAAGGCGAGCTCGCCGACTCGTCGTTACACGAGCTGATAATTTGGAGGTTGGCGAGATTCGAAATGCTCGGCGGTCGTAACTAGCCCTTGGAGAGAGGCGTGACAGTGGAATGAAGTGGAGATACGTGCCAGGGATATTCACCTGGCCGGTCAAGGTCATATAAAGAGCCGTTCGGCAAAATGCGACCACCGCCACTGCTGTCACTCTCACCGCGAAACATTCATTGCAACAACCGTATTATTTCCTGCTTGACAATATTAATGTAAGTACTACATATTCCATCAACCTGGGTCCCCAGGCCTCAGTGTTTAATTCTAAATTCTACTATCTTTCGTACTTGCTATGAAGGCGCTCACACTTTTCCATCGCTCACTGCACATCGGCAGAGACGGTATGTTCCAAAGGAACACCGCCGGACCGGAGCTCTCGAGTGCTGGAATAATATCAGCAAGCATTCATGGTCACTGCCACTTGGTTGTCAAGGCTTAACAATAGAGCCACCTTCCCATGAACTCAGATTTTTCCTGTGACACCATCGTCATCGCTTCACTGCGGCGCTATAGAGTTCATGGTGAGCGCAGGGTACCATTTAATTTATCAATGCTCTTGCCACGCAGACTGCATTCACCGGCAGAATCACTCGGTGGAGAGGCGACACTCATCAAGGAAGAGGTGTTTCAGCTATAAACGAGAGCAATGAAGATGCGGCAATGTGACAATTGTCACAAGATCATCATGTCGCGAACAACTCGTGCAATCGAAGTGGGTGAGCTATCATGTTATCACACGAATCTTTCATCTTGCCTGTTGTAATGTTGACACATTTATTTGATAATGCGCTTATCGGTGCTGTGCACGAAATTGACAGTACTTAGTAATGTAAATATTACGGAGTTCTCCTTCTACTTACCAATGGTAGGGTACATCATGTCAACGTTGAATGGAACGCGTATCCAATGACAAATTTCATCCCGGGTTCGGCCAGTTTATGTTCTCACTGTGTCCTCGCATACGCGTGACGTCGATGTATTGGCCAGGATATGGTTCTTCACCTAGTAAAACCGTTTCAGAAGTCGAACGAAGGGACTGGCAAGTTACTCACTCCGATCGATCAGGTTGACTTCCAGCTCGTCGTCATCATCGATATCTTCCTCGTCTGACGCCCAGCGGTCTTCTGCGGCTGCCTTGGGATTTGCCGCACGATCAACGGCAAGATCTTTCATCAGGCGATTTATTGAGTCCTCTTTTATATCCTGCAGTGATTTTTCCCGTGCCGCGCGGGCGCGTTCAAGTTCTGGGAGATATTCACTGAAGACGTAGAAAAAACAAGGAGAACAATGAAGATAAAACGTACGTCCTATATGTTTCACGAGACTCCTCCACCGCATCGAAAAATTCCTTGATACCGGCACCTGTTGTACTTGAGACGCCGACAGCCTGTAATAGTCAGCTATGCTTTCTACAGCATGATGAAATATGATTACCTTGAGGTGTTTGTAGAATTCGTCCAAAACGAGACTCATGCTATTCATCAAACTGTTCATATAAGTCGGTTCACCTTCAGAGTCCCTCGATCCTGAATGGGACGCAAGAGCGACTTGAAATGCCTCAAAATCTTGCATCCATTCGATAGCAAAATCGTGAGGTTGTGCGTCCGTCTTGTTAAAGACCAGGATGAATGGTAATTTTGTCTTGTACATAATACTAATAAAGCGTCATGGATCAGTAAGCCGCTAGACCACGCAGTACTCACCTGCAGGCATACAGCATGTTAGACATGAATGTCGCTGGAGCTGTCGTCCGTGGGGTGTCGATGATGTACGCCACCACAGTGGGAAACGAGGAAGCAACGGCATCCGTGATGATAGCACCAGATGCTGACCAAGTAAAAATCTCAATTTGCCCCGGAGTGTCAAGAATTATGTGACTACGTGAGCGCACGTAAGAGCGAACATAAAATAAAAATGACAAGCACATACTCAACTGTGTCAGCCCTCTTCTCGACCAACTCCAGAACCTGATCAAATTTCGTCGTAAAAAGATTCAAGGCAGTCAAAATGCCACCGTTCGGTCCTAGGTTATACCTTTGATCCATTCAGTCATTCGTGTACTCCCGTTCAAACGGAGACGGCACGCACTGTTTCATGACTTCTTTGTAGTTTACAGTATCCCGGATATCAATGTTGGCCTCGAATGGCACATGAGTAACCGCTGGGTCAAGGTTTAGGATGTATGGCGGTTGTGGAGGATTTTGCGAGTGGAGGTAGGAGGTAATGCGCTGCACGAAGGTGGACTTGCCAGCCCCCGCCATCCCGATCGTGATGATGACATGTGGTTTTGTTTTCGAGCTCGTGCCCGGTTGAGCGTTCAGAGACGCGCTCATGGTGGTAAAAGGGAAGTCTTCCCTGGGCAGACCAAATCGAATTAACTGTAGAATGGCATATGCTGAGTAAGTAGCTATCTTGACGCGGCGTGACACGCATGTGACGCGGCATTGATGAGCCTTAGCTTCAAGTTGACGCGGCCACTGGAGAGATCGTCGTCATCCGCAAGCCGACTTGGGTAATACCAACCGTCGCGGTGTTATCAACCATACACCTAAGCAGCGCCCATCTTCAGGCAATAGGTCTACGAAGAAGTCTGTCGCTGAAGCTGTACCTGAAAGAGAGCACAGTGAGGCCAAGGTGCAAAAACCCAGAAAATCGAGCCAGGAGGCCAGGGGTGACAAGGATGCAGATATAGTAGTGGTCGATTCGAGCGTATTGGTACACGCCCTCCACCAGGTGAAGAAATGGTGCAGAGATGGACGTGATGAAATCGTTATTGTACCCCTTGAAGGTCAGTCGAGACGTGCGAAATGTTTTGTCGTCTGACATGAGGTGGCTTAGTCTTGAATACTCTTGATTTACTCAAGAAGGGAACGAGTCCTCTCGCCCAGCGCGCGCGGTCAGCTTCACGAATTTTAGAGGCTCAAGTTGGCACAAATCCTCGTATCCGTGTCCAGCGGGATGATGCCTTCGTTCCGTGGGACTGCATCGAGTTCAAAGACATGTCAGCTGATGATACTAAGGACAAAGCTACGTTACAGTCACTGCACCTCTCTGGTTCTCCAGAGTGGGTTCGGCGCATGATGATCACGTCGCTGAAACTTGTGCTTCAACGAGCGACAAACTCATAGTCGTTCTTGCTATCCTTTCCCCTTCTGCTACTCCAGCTCAGGTCTGTCGAACTAATGCAATGCCCGAAGTATCATCTCCGGTACCCCTTCCAGCTCCGAGTCCACACACTCACAAGTACGAGCCTCGTTTAGCTGGCCTGTTGATTAGATACTGGGCTACCCGAGCTGGTATCACTCTCTTAGAAGTGGAATCTTCCGCAGCACCACTTGTTCCACCTTCATCGAACCACCCTCGTAATCTTGATGATGACGATAGAGGAAAACGACAGGCCGGTCGAGGCAGATGTCATTCTCATACCGCTCAGGGGGGTCTTCCTGTCGCTCGAGGCACCGGGCTAGTGGAGCGCCCTGCTGCCGTTATGCAAATGATGGAAATGATCTTTCAGCCTAGCAAGGTCGTCCGCGTTCTTGCTTTGGGCGAGAAACTAGAACCAGACCCATAATCCTGATTATGCGGCATCCTTGAGTAGTTCAGTTTAACTCGTGGATGTTGACTACTGACCAATACAGTCGAGATATGACTGTTCTTCGGTTCCAAGGCTGTTCCAGCTCCGTCTCGATCAACGACGTCATGGAAAGTATTGGAAGCCTCACAGATCACGCATATTCGCTCTGCCTCTCATTCCTCAGAGCATGGATTCTGCAGGAAATGTTTCCAGGCATCTTTGTGTGGTCTCTTTGCTTCGAGTGTGCGGTCCTTATGAAGGTCTAACCACAGCAGTTACGGAACTAGTGTTCATGATAACTTTCTCTTGGTTCTCTATCATCCTACAAACACTTTGTTTCACTGTCTGCGGACTGTCCGATGTGCCCCTACTGTGTATGTTCTATGTCCTTATGGTCCCATTTCTCGAAATAAACTATATATTCATTTCCGTGGCGGTTTGATTCGACATCTGTTCTTTCGGACTGGTTGCAAGGGGTGAAAGATAGTTCTTTTTTTTTAGACAAGCGATATTCCCGCTACCTTTAGGTAGCTGGGTCTTTGTCGACCGTTCAAATGGAAAATAACACAGAATTTGCACTTTTGCAAATTCAATCGCATATAAATGGCAATATTTTCTCGTCTTGATTCGATGAAGTATTCTTTTCTCACGTTTCTCTAGGGTGTTTCCGTTTGTTTGTATCTGACCGAACTTCGAAATTGATTCTTTTAGCATTAATGCATCTCGTATTGCATCCAAGTCCAATGTCGTTGCTGTGCAGCTCTACCCACCTTGTTTAGTAACTGTTGGTACAACACCATCGTGGAGATCAACAACATCATCGAGACAGAGAAAGAGCGTGACGAAAGAAATGGAGAGGTACATCATATTACAATTCTGCTCACAGACACTCTCACTTGGAGAGTACACAGAGTTTCATCGTCAAAGACTGTCTCAGACGCTCGAGCTCTGACAACACCGATCCAGATGTGATCATAGTCCACACCCAGCGACTTTATGATGTCCTGCAGGACCTGTGTGAGCACAAGAAAAGTGTGGGGAAAACTTCAAGGATGCAAAAAATGACCCTTGACCCAGTTGCTTCGACATCTACATCCAGAAAAATGGCCATCAAAGGAGACTCGGCCATGATGCTGCAAGATGCAAGCCACAACAAACAGAACACAGGTGCGTTGTCATGTCCCATACAATGATCAATGATACTGACACAGCACACAGTCATTAGCGCTGACACCATGCACTCACTGACACTTCTGCCAGACTATGGAGGTCCAATCTTCCGTCACCGCCGAGCATCTCTACATCAACTCAACATCCGCGATAGCACCAACAACCTCATCACTCCTGACAAATGGTACAGTGAGCTCCGACAAGGGATGCTTGTCCTTTTTGCAGCCACGATGCATGGCTACATACAAAAAGACCCCGGACAGAAAGGGAGAAAGGTATGACATCATCTCAAACATCAACTCTACACCGAGGACACACCACCGCAGACTTGGCAACTTGTCGCGAAATCTATCAAGGTGATAGATCGATCGAATGAGGTCATGGAGCCTCGCTACAAAGTGGTATTGCCCACTGCCGAAAAATGCAGGGCAACGTCTTCAGCAGCACTAACAGACTTCAAAATTGAAAAGAAGGTCTGTGCCAAATGACAGTCGACTATCACCGTGAAAAAAAAAGGAGAGGCGCACACAAGCAGTAAACTGCCAGCCAGGTAATCAGTAGTACTAGGACTCGCATGTCATTCGAATGATATTAGTAATGAACGCATACCGACCACAAAGTAAAGACCTTTGTAAAGCCAAAGACGCCATACACAAAGATCAAAAGACCAAGAGTCAGATGCTGAAAAATAAACTCGAAGCGATCCCTCCGTCGTGACTGCAGGGCTTGCAAGACCACAGTCAGGTCTATAGAAAGCACACTGCACATGGTCAGCACACCTTTTCAGGCCTGAGAAGCTAGGAAGGAATCACAGAGTAAGAAAAGGACTCATCGTACACTGACATCTTATATATCTTCGCTACTAAGCAGTCAATCCGCTCAGCACGCAGCCTGGGCCTGATAAACATGGCAGTAGTTTGAAAAAAGAAACACGAGAAGTGAACCACACCATCCATTCCCACACATGAGGTAGCAGGCCCTGCCATGGATGTGGTCCTGCGTGACTTATATTGATGTAGCGACTGACAAAGTCTAGTTCTACAAGAATGCGCTATAGCAGGGTTCGGGGAACTCCAGTCCGAGGGAAAATGCACTTATGCACTCTCATTCTCATGGGGTGTGTGGGACTCTTAGACTACCTGGGGGCCTCGTTCACAGAGGGCCTGGGTGGTTTGATATCCACTAAAACCTCGAGGGTGGTGGCCCAGTTTTTGGTATTGGTTTGTCAGATGTTAGTACTTTAGTCCACGTGGCCGTTACCAGTTTTTCAAAGGATGGGGTACAGTCTATTTTTCTTGCTGTGATTCTGTCTATTTGCAGCCGTTTGTTTATTGTTGTTGTCCAGTGTTTTGTTATTGCTTGTGTCGTAGGTGAGGCACCATTTATTGTTCTGTCGCATCGCAGTACCCAGATTAGGTATGCTGATTCTGATATTAGTATTCTCATCAGCCTTGAGGCTCCTTTTGTGAGGGGTCTATTCCCTAGATTTGTTTGTTTGTCATCATTTGGTATTGGTGATCGCACGCTAATGTTTCCGCATCCTAGGATTGTGCCTATGCCAATCTGGGGCCAGGCGCCAAAGCTTTCAGGCCATATCTCTTTCGTTAGGAACCATATCGTGGTGTGTGCGTTATTGTTGCATTATAAAAGTATGTGTTCCATTGACTCCGAGTTGATGTTGCAGTGTGTGCATTTGGCGCGTTGCTCGTATGTGGGGATATTCAGCCAGTAGTCACCGATTCTGTAGGCGCCATGCATTGCTTTGAACAGGAATTGTCTTATTTTTTTGTTTAGGTCCTTATTCCGGCATCTGTTTCAGATGTTCATGTCGTTTTCTAAGTGCCCTGTCAGTTCTTTTATGGCGTATCTAGTTATTTTGAGGTTGATCGCTGTTTTGCGCCTTTGGGTTGAGTCCTTTCATTCTCTTATTCCTTTGTAGGCCAGGGCTTGCATGATAGCTGATAGTTTCGCTCCTTGTAGGTTGAATTCATTGGGGACTGATAGGTCTATGGGGTCAGTAGTCTGTTTGTTGGCTCCCTCTCTCACAAGTTGGTCTGCCTGTTCATTTCCAATTTGGCTGCTATGTCCCTTCACCCAGATGAAGGAGGTTTACGCTGAGCGTCTTCATAGGTGGTATACTGTTGCTTTGATGTATTTGCTGTTTGCTATACCTATCCATCCAGCATCTTCCCATCTCGCTAGGTGTTTGGTTAGGCTGTCTATGGCGTATTTTGAGTCTGTGACAAAGGTGATAGGTATGAATGGGTCAGTGTTTTGTAGGGCTACTAAGATTGCTGATAGTTCTGCGATCTGGTTAGATTGTTCTTCTCCAGGGATTTGGACTGCTCGGTTTTTGGGATGGTCTTCTGCTATCCAGATGCCACTGCCGCATCTTGCGTCGTGTTTTCCGTTTTCCAGGCAGGATCCATCAGTGTATATCATCAGTTTTTCGTTGAGGAGGTTAAGCCCTCTTGTTGGAGTATGTAGTTGATGAGCTGGGGTGAGTGAGGTGCATTTTGGGTTGGTGAAGATCCTGAAACAATCAGAGGTGCGTGATCTCACCGTGGTGGTAGGATCAAATAGGATTTCTCCATGGCATTGTTCGTGGGCTTGTTGGTTCTTTTCTTTCCGCCGGTGGGTGAGTGAGAGTCCATCTTTCTTTGGTTTTGATTTTGGATTAAATTTTGGGGCGATCCGGTGTAGGATTACATTGGCTATTTGCACACATTTTGGGGGGTTTGTGCACCCCTTGTTTTGGTCTCTGTTGCAGGAGGAGCAGCTGCAGTTTTTGGTGGGGAAGTGCTGGTTGTCTGCATTGATGCATCTCAGATGTTTGCTTACTTTAATCAAGTGTTTGATGTTTTTTGATCTGTGTGTTTCATTCAGACATCGGTTTTTTACTTTATTGTAGGTGTTTTTGGGTGCGCCTAGGTGGTACCATGCCGGGAGGCTCTTTTTGAGTTCTTTTGAGATTTTGATTGGGGCAAAACTTATGTTGAATTGTCTGATGGTTTTCAGGAGTGCTTGGGCTTCTTGGGGTAGTGAGCTCGTTCTTTTGCCTCTCGTGGGGGGAGTCCAGGAGGTTAGGAAGGGGTTGACATTTTCTACAGGCTTCCCGTTTGGACTTAGGTTATATAGGACAAGGTCCATTATTGATGCCCATATTGGTCTGGATGGGGACAGGTCCAGGTAGGCTTTGGCCCAGGTAATTTCTATTGCTTCATTTCTCATTCTGATGTCAAGTAGGTTGATTCCTTCCTCCCTCTTCTTTCGGGCGGTATAGTTGTTCCAAGCTGATGGGTGGGGATTTGACGTTGTCCCATAGAAACTTGCATGTCATTTTGGTGAGTGCCTGTTTGATATTCTTCAGCATTCCTTGAGCTTTTGTTAGAAATTGTGTCATTCTGCCGACAACCATCTGTATGATCAGTCTTTTTCCGTCTAAAGTTGGGTGGCTGGCTTTCCATCGTTTGAGTGAGGAGTTGACTTTTTCTAGTATGGGTTCCCATGGTGTCGTATTGTTTGTTTTGTTTCCAATCCATGCGCCCAGTGACCTGATGGGGTGTCCGTCAAGGGCAATTTTGACGGTAGGGTCTAGGGGGTTGTCTCGTATATTTAGTTGTCTGGTTAGTATGACTTGGTCGTGATGGGTTTTTGTTCCAATTGGGACCATCTCTGTTTTTTCTAGGTTAAACTTTGCCCCAGATGCTGAACACCATTTATTTAGGATGTCTTTGAGGTTGCCATAGCTGTCTGTTTCATTCAGGAAGATGGTGGTGTCGTCTGCATAGAGGTTCACTATGATTCTATCTGTGATTCCTGGTACGTGGTATCCGTTCAGTTTTTCAGAGTTTCTTAGGGTACATGCTAATGGCTCAATGGCTAGGTTGAACAGGAGGCAGGAAAGGGGGTCTCCTTGTTGGACCCCTCTTGATACCTTAAAGGGGATGCTTAACACACTGTTTATCGCCACTCTTGTGTGGGCATTTTTGTAGAGGGCTTTGACTGTGTTTATGAAGATTTATGGTAGTCTGAAGGTTTCCAGGGTTTCAAAAAGGTAGTCGTGTTTTATTTTGTCATATGCCTTTTCTTGATCCAGAGCTATCAGGGCGCTGTTCTCTTCGGTAATGTCGGCATAGTCAATCATCATTCTGGCTAATCTTATTGGGTCAAATATAGAGCATTGGGGGATAAAGCTGCTTTGGTCGGGGTGTATTAGTGAGTGGGATTCCCAGGCTAGTTGCATCGCTAGTGCCTTGGTGAGTAGTTTATAGTCAGTGTTTAGTAGCATTATCGGTCGGTAATTTTCTATTTCAGTATGTTCTTTCTTTTTATAGATTGGGCACATCCAGCCTAGGGTAAAATTTGTCCCTTCATTAATGCCATATTGTTGGATGTCATTTATTATGCAGGTGAGAGTTTTTATTATGTCGAAGCTGGGTTCTTCTTTTTTCTAGTCACTAATGTGTTTTTCGTGCAGTGTCTTCCATATCTCATATGGTATTCCGTCTATGCCTGCCATGTTCCCTGCTTTCGAGGTGTATAGAGCTTCTTGTATGTGATGCTCGTGTAGGAGGCTGTGAAGGGGTGAGTTGTCGTTCTGTAGCTTTTGTTGTTGTGAGATTTCCATCATTGTTTCTTGTCTTGTCTCCTCACGTTGCTCTTCCTCATATTGTTTGAGGTTGTCGTTTTGGATATTCTCATGGTGGTTACATGCAATTTTGGCTATCTTGTCTGAGCGGGCACAGAGTCTATTTGAGGTTGGATCTCTTAGTCTTTCTATTATGTCTCGCGGTTTTTTGTTGCTGTTGATCTTTGACCAGTACTTGCTCATGGTTTCGCCTGTTGCGGCCCATTTTGCTTGTGACTTTAGTTGTTTGTGTCTAATTTTTTTGTTTTCTAGGTGGTTCATTTCACACTCAATCCAGGCTTTATGTCTCCTGGTGTCGTCGTTCATGTCAATGTCATCCATTTCTAACATTTTTTCTAGGTCTTTTTCAAGTCGTTTGATATGTGATCTGATTTTGTTTAGGTGTTCTTTTGCAGCCTTTCTCACTTCTTGGCCTATTTGGTTCTTAAATGACACCCAGAAATGTTGGGGGTTCTCTGTTTCGTGCCTTGGGAGTTGGGGGGTAAGGATCTTTTGTTGTGCTTGCTTGCTGAGAGTGCTAATTGTTTTAATAAGTTTCTCGTTGTGCAGTAGGCTGATGGGCCAGGTCCAGTGTCCTTTCCCTATATAGGGAGCGTTTACAGGTGCGAATCTTACAGAGACCATTCTATGGTCCGATGGGATTGCTGACATACATGAGTCCCAGTTGTGTGTATTATGTTCGTGTGATGGTGCCATGTAAATGTGGTCTAGTCTCAATAGTGAGTTTGTATTGCTGTTGAA